TTTTTTATGATTTTGGATTTATAGGTTGGATGACTTTTAGGTGGTAATAGGTGTCTTCCTCTACTCGTATTTGGCTGTCAATTTTTTTCTACACTTTGAGGAGTATTTTGTTCAAGAATTTACATTAAAATCGTCTGCCTAAGGAAAATTGAATTTTTTTGGGAACTTTTTTATGATTTTGGATTTATAGGTTGGATGACTTTTTGGTGGTAATAGGTGTCTTCCTCTACTCGTATTTGGCTGTCAATTTTTTTCTACACTTTTAGGTGTATTTTGTGCAAGAATTTGCATTAAAATCTTCTGCCAAAGGAAAATTGAATTTTTTTGGGAACTTTTATGATTTTGGATTTATGGGTTGGATGACTTTTTGGTGGTAATAGGTGTGTTCCTCTACTCGTATTTGGCTGTCAATTTTTTTCTACTCTTTGAGGAGTATTTTGTGCAAGAATTTGCATTAAAATCGTCTGCCTAAGGAAAATTGAATTTTTTTGGGAACTTTTTTATGATTTTGGATTTATGGGTTGGATGACATTTTGGTGGTAATAGGTCTCTTCCTCTACTCGTATTTGGCTGTCAATTTTTTTCTACACTTTTAGGAGTATTTTGTGCAAGAATTTGCATTAAAATCGTCCGCCTAAGTTAGATTTGAATTTTTTTGGGAACTTTATTATGATTTTGGATTTATGGCTTGGATGAATTTTTGGTGGTAATAGGTGTCTTCCTCTACTCGTATTTGGTTGTCAATTTTTTTCTACACTTTTAGGTGTATTTTGTGCAAGAATTTGCATTAAAATCTTCTGCCAAAGGAAAATTGAATTTTTTTGGGAACTTTTATGATTTTGGATTTATGGGTTGGATGACTTTTTGGTGGTAATAGGTGTGTTCCTCTACTCGTATTTGGCTGTCAATTTTTTTCTACACTTTGAGGAGTATTTTGTTCAAGAATTTACATTAAAATCGTCTGCCTAAGATAAATTGTATTTTTTTGGGAACTTTTTTATGATTTTCGATTTATAGGTTGGATGACTTTTTGGTGGTAATAGGTGTCTTCCTCTACTCGTATTTGGCTGTCAATTTTTTTCTACTCTTTGAGGAGTATTTTGTGCAAGAATTTGCATTAAAATCGTCTGCCTAAGGAAAATTGAATTTTTTTGGGAACTTTTTTATCATTTTGGATTTATGGGTTGGATGACTTTTTGGTGGTAATAGGTGTCTTCCTCTACTCGTATTTGGCTATCAATTTTTTTCTACACTTTGAGGAGTATTTTGTTCACGAATTTACATTAAAATCGTCTGCCTAAGGAAAATTGAATTTTTTTGGGAACTTTTATGATTTTGGATTTATAGGTTGGATGACTTTTTGATGGTAATAGATGTCTTCCTCTACTCGTATTTGGCTATCAATTTTTTTCTACACTTTGAGGAGTATTTTGTTCACGAATTTACATTAAAATCGTCTGCCTAAGGAAAATTGAATTTTTTTGGGAAGTTTTTTATGATTTTGGATTTATAGGTTGGATGACTTTTTGGTGGTAATAGGTGTCTTCCTCTACTCGTATTTGGCTGTCAATTTTTTTCTACACTTTTAGGTGTATTTTGTGCAAGAATTTGCATTAAAATCTTCTGCCAAAGGAAAATTGAATTTTTTTGGGAACTTTTATGATTTTGGATTTATGGGTTGGATGACTTTTGGGTGGTAATAGGTGTGTTCCTCTACTCGTATTTGGCTGTCAATTTTTTTCTACTCTTTGAGGAGTATTTTGTGCAAGAATTTGCATTAAAATCGTCTGCCTAAGGAAAATTGAATTTTTTTGGGAACTTTTTTATGATTTTCGATTTCTGGGTTGGATGACTTTTTGGTGGTAATAGGTGTATTCCTCTACTCGTATTTGTCTGTCAATTTTTTTCTACACTTTTAGGAGTATTTTGTGCAAGAATTTGCATTAAAATCGTCCGCCAAAGTTAGATTTGAATTTTTTTGGGAACTTTTTTATGATTTTCGATTTATAGGTTGGATGACTTTTTGGTTGTTATAGGTGTCTTCCTCTACTCGTATTTGGCTGTCAATTTTTTTCTACACTTTTAGGAGTATTTTGTGCAAGAATTTGCATTAAAATCGTCTGCCTAAGGAAAATTGAATTTTTTTGGGAACTTTTTTATGATTTTGGATTTATGGGTTGGATGACATTTTGGTGGTAATAGGTCTCTTCCTCTACTCGTATTTGGCTGTCAATTTTTTTCTACACTTTTAGGAGTATTTTGTGCAAGAATTTGCATTAAAATTGTCAGCCTAAGAAAAATTGAATTTTTTTGGGAAGTTTTTTATGATTTTGGATTTCTGGGTTGGATGACTTTTTGGTGGTAATAGGTGTCTTCCTCTACTCGTATTTGGCTGTCAATTTTTTTCTACACTTTTAGGAGTATTTTGTGCAAGAATTTGCATTAAAATCGTCTGCCTAAGGAAAATTGAATTTTTTTGGGAACTTTTTTATGATTTTGGATTTATGGGTTGGATGACTTTTTGGTGGTAATAGGTGTCTTCCTCTACTCGTATTTGGCTGTCAATTTTTTTCTACACTTTTAGGTGTATTTTGTGCAAGAATTTGCATTAAAATCTTCTGCCAAAGGAAAATTGAATTTTTTTGGGAACTTTTATGATTTTGGATTTATGGGTTGGATGACTTTTTGGTGGTAATAGGTGTGTTCCTCTACTCGTATTTGGCTGTCAATTTTTTTCTACTCTTTGAGGAGTATTTTGTGCAAGAATTTGCATTAAAATCGTCTGCCTAAGGAAAATTGAATTTTTTTGGGAACTTTTTTATGATTTTGGATTTATGTGTTGGATGACATTTTGGTGGTAATAGGTCTCTTCCTCTACTCGTATTTGGCTGTCAATTTTTTTCTACACTTTTAGGTGTATTTTGTGCAAGAATTTGCATTAAAATCGTCTGCCTAAGAAAAATTGAATTTTTTTGGGAACTTTTTTATGATTTTCGATTTATAGGTTGGATGACTTTTTGGTTGTTATAGGTGTCTTCCTCTACTCGTATTTGGCTGTCAATTTTTTTCTACACTTTTAGGTGTATTTTGTGCAAGAATTTGCATTAAAATCGTCTGCCTAAGGAAAATTGAATTTTTTTGGGAACTTTTTTATGATTTTGGATTTATAGGTTGGATGACTTTTAGGTGGTAATAGGTGTCTTCCTCTACTCGTATTTGGCTGTCAATTTTTTTCTACACTTTGAGGAGTATTTTGTTCAAGAATTTACATTAAAATCGTCTGCCTAAGGAAAATTGAATTTTTTTGGGAACTTTTTTATGATTTTGGATTTATAGGTTGGATGACTTTTTGGTGGTAATAGGTGTCTTCCTCTACTCGTATTTGGCTGTCAATTTTTTTCTACACTTTTAGGTGTATTTTGTGCAAGAATTTGCATTAAAATCTTCTGCCAAAGGAAAATTGAATTTTTTTGGGAACTTTTATGATTTTGGATTTATGGGTTGGATGACTTTTTGGTGGTAATAGGTGTGTTCCTCTACTCGTATTTGGCTGTCAATTTTTTTCTACTCTTTGAGGAGTATTTTGTGCAAGAATTTGCATTAAAATCGTCTGCCTAAGGAAAATTGAATTTTTTTGGGAACTTTTTTATGATTTTGGATTTATGGGTTGGATGACATTTTGGTGGTAATAGGTCTCTTCCTCTACTCGTATTTGGCTGTCAATTTTTTTCTACACTTTTAGGAGTATTTTGTGCAAGAATTTGCATTAAAATCGTCCGCCTAAGTTAGATTTGAATTTTTTTGGGAACTTTATTATGATTTTGGATTTATGGCTTGGATGAATTTTTGGTGGTAATAGGTGTCTTCCTCTACTCGTATTTGGTTGTCAATTTTTTTCTACACTTTTAGGTGTATTTTGTGCAAGAATTTGCATTAAAATCTTCTGCCAAAGGAAAATTGAATTTTTTTGGGAACTTTTATGATTTTGGATTTATGGGTTGGATGACTTTTTGGTGGTAATAGGTGTGTTCCTCTACTCGTATTTGGCTGTCAATTTTTTTCTACACTTTGAGGAGTATTTTGTTCAAGAATTTACATTAAAATCGTCTGCCTAAGATAAATTGTATTTTTTTGGGAACTTTTTTATGATATTCGATTTATAGGTTGGATGACTTTTTGGTGGTAATAGGTGTCTTCCTCTACTCGTATTTGGCTGTCAATTTTTTTCTACTCTTTGAGGAGTATTTTGTGCAAGAATTTGCATTAAAATCGTCTGCCTAAGGAAAATTGAATTTTTTTGGGAACTTTTTTATCATTTTGGATTTATGGGTTGGATGACTTTTTGGTGGTAATAGGTGTCTTCCTCTACTCGTATTTGGCTATCAATTTTTTTCTACACTTTGAGGAGTATTTTGTTCACGAATTTACATTAAAATCGTCTGCCTAAGGAAAATTGAATTTTTTTGGGAACTTTTATGATTTTGGATTTATAGGTTGGATGACTTTTTGATGGTAATAGATGTCTTCCTCTACTCGTATTTGGCTATCAATTTTTTTCTACACTTTGAGGAGTATTTTGTTCACGAATTTACATTAAAATCGTCTGCCTAAGGAAAATTGAATTTTTTTGGGAACTTTTATGATTTTGGATTTATAGGTTGGATGACTTTTTGATGGTAATAGATGTCTTCCTCTACTCGTATTTGGCTATCAATTTTTTTCTACACTTTGAGGAGTATTTTGTTCACGAATTTACATTAAAATCGTCTGCCTAAGGAAAATTGAATTTTTTTGGGAAGTTTTTTATGATTTTGGATTTATAGGTTGGATGACTTTTTGGTGGTAATAGGTGTCTTCCTCTACTCGTATTTGGCTGTCAATTTTTTTCTACACTTTTAGGAGTATTTTGTGCAAGAATTTGCATTAAAATTGTCAGCCTAAGAAAAATTGAATTTTTTTGGGAAGTTTTTTATGATTTTGGATTTCTGGGTTGGATGACTTTTTGGTGGTAATAGGTGTCTTCCTCTACTCGTATTTGGCTGTCAATTTTTTTCTACACTTTTAGGAGTATTTTGTGCAAGAATTTGCATTAAAATCGTCTGCCTAAGGAAAATTGAATTTTTTTGGGAACTTTTTTATGATTTTGGATTTATGGGTTGGATGACTTTTTGGTGGTAATAGGTGTCTTCCTCTACTCGTATTTGGCTGTCAATTTTTTTCTACACTTTTAGGTGTATTTTGTGCAAGAATTTGCATTAAAATCTTCTGCCTAAGGAAAATTGAATTTTTTTGGGAACTTTTATGATTTTGGATTTATGGGTTGGATGACTTTTTGGTGGTAATAGGTGTGTTCCTCTACTCGTATTTGGCTGTCAATTTTTTTCTACTCTTTGAGGAGTATTTTGTGCAAGAATTTGCATTAAAATCGTCTGCCTAAGAAAAATTGAATTTTTTTGGGAACTTTTTTATGATTTTGGATTTATGGGTTGGATGACATTTTGGTGGTAATAGGTCTCTTCCTCTACTCGTATTTGGCTGTCAATTTTTTTCTACACTTTTAGGAGTATTTTGTGCAAGAATTTGCATTAAAATCGTCCGCCTAAGTTAGATTTGAATTTTTTTGGGAAGTTTTTTATGATTTTGGTTTTATAGGTTGGATGACTTTTTGGAGGTAATAGGTGTCTTCCTCTACTCGTATTTGGCTGTCAATTTTTTTCTACACTTTTATGAGCATTTTGTGCAAGAATTTGCATTAAAATCGTCTGCCTAAGGAAAATTGAATTTTTTTGGGAACTTTTTTATGATTTTGGATTTCTGGGTTGGATGACTTTTTGGTGGTAATAGGTGTCTTCCTCTACTCGTATTTGGCTGTCAATTTTTTTCTACACTTTCAGGTGTATTTTGTGCAAGAATTTGCATTAAAATCGTCTGCCTAAGGAAAATTGAATTTTTTTGGGAACTTTTTAATGATTTTGGATTTCTGGGTTGGATGACTTTTTGGTGGTAATAGGTGTCTTCCTCTACTCGTATTTGGCTGTCAATTTTTTTCTACTCTTTGAGGAGTATTTTGTGCAAGAATTTGCATTAAAATCGTCTGCCTAAGGAAAATTGAATTTTTTTGGGAACTTTTTTATCATTTTGGATTTATGGGTTGGATGACTTTTTGGTGGTAATAGGTGTCTTCCTCTACTCGTATTTGGCTATCAATTTTTTTCTACACTTTGAGGAGTATTTTGTTCACGAATTTACATTAAAATCGTCTGCCTAAGGAAAATTGAATTTTTTTGGGAACTTTTATGATTTTGGATTTATAGGTTGGATGACTTTTTGGTGGTAATAGATGTCTTCCTCTACTCGTATTTGGCTGTCAATTTTTTTCTACACTTTTAGGTGTATTTTGTGCAAGAATTTGCATTAAAATCGTCTGCCTAAGGAAAATTGAATTTTTTTGGGAAGTTTTTTATGATTTTGGATTTATAGGTTGGATGACTTTTTGGTGGTAATAGGTGTCTTCCTCTACTCGTATTTGGCTGTCAATTTTTTTCTACACTTTTAGGTGTATTTTGTGCAAGAATTTGCATTAAAATCTTCTGCCAAAGGAAAATTGAATTTTTTTGGGAACTTTTATGATTTTGGATTTATGGGTTGGATGACTTTTTGGTGGTAATAGGTGTCTTCCTCTACTCGTATTTGGCTATCAATTTTTTTCTACACTTTGAGGAGTATTTTGTTCAAGAATTTACATTAAAATCGTCTGCCTAAGGAAAATTGAATTTTTTTGGGAACTTTCTTATGATTTTGGATTTATGGCTTGGATGACTTTTTGGTGGTAATAGGTGTCTTCCTCTACTCGTATTTGGCTGTCAATTTTTTTCTACACTTTTAGGTGTATTTTGTGCAAGAATTTGCATTAAAATCTTCTGCCAAAGGAAAATTGAATTTTTTTGGGAACTTTTATGATTTTGGATTTATGGGTTGGATGACTTTTTGGTGGTAATAGGTGTCTTCCTCTACTCGTATTTGGCTGTCAATTTTTTTCTACACTTTTATGAGCATTTTGTGCAAGAATTTGCATTAAAATCGTCTGCCTAAGGAAAATTGAATTTTTTTGGGAACTTTTATGATTTTGGATTTATGGGTTGGATGACTTTTTGGTGGTAATAGGTGTCTTCCTCTACTCGTATTTGGCTGTCAATTTTTTTCTACACTTTTATGAGCATTTTGTGCAAGAATTTGCATTAAAATCGTCTGCCTAAGGAAAATTGAATTTTTTTGGGAACTTTTATGATTTTGGATTTATGGGTTGGATGACATTTTGGTGGTAATAGGTCTCTTACTCTACTCGTATTTGGCTGTCAATTTTTTTCTACACTTTTAGGAGTATTTTGTGCAAGAATTTGCATTAAAATCGTCCGCCTAAGTTAGATTTGAATTTTTTTGGGAAGTTTTTTATGATTTTGGATTTATAGGTTGGATGACTTTTTGGTGGTAATAGGTGTCTTCCTCTACTCGTATTTGGCTGTCAATTTTTTTCTACACTTTGAGGAGTATTTTGTTCAAGAATTTACATTAAAATCGTCTGCCTAAGGAAAATTGAATTTTTTTGGGAACTTTTTTATGATTTTGGATTTATAGGTTGGATGACTTTTTGGTGGTAATAGGTCTCTTCCTCTACTCGTATTTGACTGTCAATTTTTTTCTACACTTTTAGGAGTATTTTGTGCAAGAATTTGCATTAAAATCATCCGCCTAAGTTAGATTTGAATTTTTTTGGGAACTTTATTATGATTTTGGATTTATGGCTTGGATGAATTTTTGGTGGTAATAGGTGTCTTCCTCTACTCGTATTTGGCTGTCAATTTTTTTCTACACTTTGAGGAGTATTTTGTTCAAGAATTTACATTAAAATCGTCTGCCTAAGATAAATTGAATTTTTTTGGGAACTTTTTTATGATTTTGGATTTATGGGTTGGATGACATTTTGGTGGTAATAGGTCTCTTACTCTACTCGTATTTGGCTGTCAATTTTTTTCTACACTTTTAGGAGTATTTTGTGCAAGAATTTGCATTAAAATCGTCCGCCTAAGTTAGATTTGAATTTTTTTGGGAACTTTTTTATGATTTTGGATTTATAGGTTGGATGACTTTTTGGTGGTAATAGGTGTCTTCCTCTACTCGTATTTGGCTGTCAATTTTTTGCTACACTTTTAGGTGTATTTTGTGCAAGAATTTGCATTAAAATTGTCTGCCTAAGAAAAATTGAATTTTTTTGGGAACTTTTTTATGATTTTGGATTTATGGCTTGGATGACTTTTTGGTGGTAATAGGTGTCTTCCTCTACTCGTATTTGGCTGTCAATTTTTTTCTACACTTTGAGGAGTATTTTGTTCAAGAATTTACATTAAAATCGTCTGCCTAAGGAAAATTGAATTTTTTTGGGAACTTTTTTATGATTTTGGATTTATGGCTTGGATGACTTTTTGGTGGTAATAGGTGTCTTCCTCTACTCGTATTTGGCTGTCAATTTTTTGCTACACTATTAGGTGTATTTTGTGCAAGAATTTGCATTAAAATTGTCAGCCTAAGAAAAATTGAATTTTTTTGGGAAGTTTTTTATGATTTTGGATTTCTGGGTTGGATGACTTTTTGGTGGTAATAGGTGTCTTCCTCTACTCGTATTTGGCTGTCAATTTTTTTCTACACTTTTAGGTGTATTTTGTGCAAGAATTTGCATTAAAATCGTCTGCCTAAGAAAAATTGAATTTTTTTGGGAAGTTTTTTATGATTTTGGATTTCTGAGTTGGATGACTTTTTGGTGGTAATAGGTGTCTTCCTCTACTCGTATTTGGCTATCAATTTTTTTCTACACTTTGAGGAGTATTTTGTTCAAGAATTTACATTAAAATCGTCTGCCTAAGGAAAATTGAATTTTTTTGGGAACTTTCTTATGATTTTGGATTTATGGCTTGGATGACTTTTTGGTGGTAATAGGTGTCTTCCTCTACTCGTATTTGGCTGTCAATTTTTTGCTACACTTTTAGGTGTGTTTTGTGCAAGAATTTGCATTAAAATTGTCAGCCTAAGAAAAATTGAATTTTTTTGGGAAGTTTTTTATGATTTTGGATTTCTGGGTTGGATGACTTTTTGGTGGTAATAGGTGTCTTCCTCTACTCGTATTTGGCTGTCAATTTTTTTCTACACTTTTAGGTGTATTTTGTGCAAGAATTTGCATTAAAATCGTCTGCCTAAGGAAAATTGAATTTTTTTGGGAACTTTTTTATGATTTTGGATTTATGGGTTGGATGACATTTTGGTGGTAATAGGTCTCTTCCTCTACTCGTATTTGGCTGTCAATTTTTTTCTACACTTTTAGGAGTATTTTGTGCAAGAATTTGCATTAAAATCGTCCGCCTAAGTTAGATTTGAATTTTTTTGGGAACTTTTTTATGATTTTGGATTTATGGCTTGGATGACTTTTTGGTGGTAATAGGTGTCTTCCTCTACTCGTATTTGGCTGTCAATTTTTTTCTACACTTTTAGGTGTATTTTGTGCAAGAATTTGCATTAAAATCTTCTGCCAAAGGAAAATTGAATTTTTTTGGGAACTTTTATGATTTTGGATTTATGGGTTGGATGACTTTTTGGTGGTAATAGGTGTCTTCCTCTACTCGTATTTGGCTGTCAATTTTTTTCTACACTTTTAGGAGTATTTTGTGCAAGAATTTGCATTAAAATCGTCCGCCAAAGTTAGATTTAAATTTTTTTGGGAACTATTTTAAAATTTTGGATTTATGGGTTGGATGACTTTTTGGTGGTAATAGGTGTCTTCCTCTACTCGTATTTGGCTGTCAATTTTTTTCTACACTTTGAGGAGTATTTTGTTCAAGAATTTACATTAAAATCGTCTGCCGAAGATAAATTGTATTTTTTTGGGAACTTTTTTATGATTTTCGATTTATAGGTTGGATGACTTTTTGGTTGTTATAGGTGTCTTCCTCTACTTGTATTTGGCTGTCAATTTTTTTCTACACTTTTAGGTGTATTTTGTACAAGAATTTGCATTAAAATCGTCTGCCTAAGAAAAATTGAATTTTTTTGGGAACTTTTTTATGATTTTGGATTTATGGGTTGGATGACTTTTTGGTGGTAATAGGTGTCTTCCTCTACTCGTATTTGGCTGTCAATTTTTTTCTACACTTTTAGGTGTATTTTGTGCAAGAATTTGCATTAAAATCGTCTGCCTAAGGAAAATTGAATTTTTTTGGGAACTTTTTTATGATTTTCGATTTCTGGGTTGGATGACTTTTTGGTGGTAATAGGTGTCTTCCTCTACTCGTATTTGGCTGTCAATTTTTTGCTACACTTTTAGGTGTATTTTGTGCAAGAATTTGCATTAAAATTGTCAGCCTAAGGAAAATTGAATTTTTTTGGGAACTTTTTTATGATTTTGGATTTATGGGTTGGATGACATTTTGGTGGTAATAGGTCTCTTCCTCTACTCGTATTTGGCTGTCAATTTTTTTCTACACTTTTAGGAGTATTTTGTGCAAGAATTTGCATTTAAATCGTCCGCCTAAGTTAGATTTGAATTTTTTTGGGAACTTTTTTATGATTTTGGATTTATAGGTTGGATGACTTTTTGGTGGTAATAGGTCTCTTCCTCTACTCGTATTTGGCTGTCAATTTTTTTCTACACTTTTAGGAGTATTTTGTGCAAGAATTTTCATTAAAATTGTCCGCCTAAGTTAGATTTGAATTTTTTTGGGAACTTTTTTATGATTTTGGATTTATAGGTTGGATGACTTTTTGGTGGTAATAGGTGTCTTCCTCTACTCGTATTTGGCTGTCAATTTTTTTCTACACTTTTAGGAGTATTTTGTGCAAGAATTTGCATTAAAATCGTCCGCCTAAGTTAGATTTGAATTTTTTTGGGAACATTTTTATGATTTTGGATTTATGGCTTGGATGACTTTTTGGTGGTAATAGGTGTCTTCCTCTACTCGTATTTGGCTGTCAATTTTTTTCTACACTTTTAGGTGTATTTTGTGCAAGAATTTGCATTAAAATCGTCTGCCTAAGGAAAATTGAATTTTTTTGGGAACTTTTCTATGATTTTGGATTTATGGGTTGGATGACATTTTGGTGGTAATAGGTCTCTTCCTCTACTCGTATTTGGCTGTCAATTTTTTTCTACACTTTTAGGAGTATTTTGTGCAAGAATTTGCATTAAAATCGTCCGCCTAAGTTAGATTTGAATTTTTTTGGGAACATTTTTATGATTTTGGATTTATGGCTTGGATGACTTTTTGGTGGTAATAGGTGTCTTCCTCTACTCGTATTTGGCTGTCAATTTTTTTCTACACTTTTAGGTGTATTTTGTGCAAGAATTTGCATTAAAATCTTCTGCCAAAGGAAAATTGAATTTTTTTGGGAACTTTTATGATTTTGGATTTATGGGTTGGATGACTTTTTGGTGGTAATAGGTGTCTTCCTCTACTCGTATTTGGCTGTCAATTTTTTTCTACACTTTTAGGAGTATTTTGTGCAAGAATTTGCATTAAAATCGTCCGCCAAAGTTAGATTTAAATTTTTTTGGGAACTATTTTATAATTTTGGATTTATGGGTTGGATGACTTTTTGGTGGTAATAGGTGTCTTCCTCTACTCGTATTTGGCTGTCAATTTTTTTCTACACTTTGAGGAGTATTTTGTTCAAGAATTTACATTAAAATCGTCTGCCGAAGATAAATTGTATTTTTTTGGGAACTTTTTTATGATTTTCGATTTATAGGTTGGATGACTTTTTGGTTGTTATAGGTGTCTTCCTCTACTTGTATTTGGCTGTCAATTTTTTTCTACACTTTGAGGAGTATTTTGTTCAAGAATTTACATTAAAATCGTCTGCCTAAGGAAAATTGAATTTTTTTGGGAACTTTTTTATGATTTTGGATTTATGGCTTGGATGACTTTTTGGTGGTAATAGGTGTCTTCCTCTACTCGTATTTGGCTGTCAATTTTTTTCTACACTTTTATGAGTATTTTGTGCAAGAATTTGCATTAGAATCGTCTGCCTAAGGAAAATTGAATTTTTTTGGGAACTTTTTTATGATTTTGGATTTCTGGGTTAGATGACTTTTTGGTGGTAATAGGTGTCTTCCTCTACTCGTATTTGGCTGTCAATTTTTTGCTACACTTTTAGGTGTATTTTGTGCAAGAATTTGCATTAAAATCGTCTGCCTAAGGAAAATTGAATTTTTTTGGGAACTTTTTTATGATTTTCGATTTCTGGGTTGGATGACTTTTTGGTGGTAATAGGTGTCTTCCTCTACTCGTATTTGGCTGTCAATTTTTTGCTACACTTTTAGGTGTATTTTGTGCAAGAATTTGCATTAAAATTGTCAGCCTAAGGAAAATTGAATTTTTTTGGGAACTTTTTTATGATTTTGGATTTATGGGTTGGATGACATTTTGGTGGTAATAGGTCTCTTCCTCTACTCGTATTTGGCTGTCAATTTTTTTCTACACTTTTAGGAGTATTTTGTGCAAGAATTTGCATTTAAATCGTCCGCCTAAGTTAGATTTGAATTTTTTTTGGAACTTTTTTATGATTTTAGATTTATAGGTTGGATGACTTTTTGGTGGTAATAGGTGTCTTCCTCTACTCGTATTTGGCTGTCAATTTTTATCTACACTTTTATGAGCATTTTGTGCAAGAATTTGCATTAAAATCGTCTGCCTAAGGAAAATTGAATTTTTTTTGGAACTTTTTTATGATTTTCGATTTCTGGGTTGGATGACTTTTTGGTGGTAATAGGTGTCTTCCTCTACTCGTATTTGGCTATCAATTTTTTTCTACACTTTGAGGAGTATTTTGTGCAAGAATTTGCATTAAAATCATCCGCCTAAGTTAGATTTGAATTTTTTTGGGAACTTTATTATGATTTTGGATTTATGGCTTGGATGAATTTTTGGTGGTAATAGGTGTGTTCCTCTACTCGTATTTGGCTGTCAATTTTTTTCTACTCTTTGAGGAATATTTTGTGCAAGAATTTGCATTAAAATCGTCTGTCTAAGGAAAATTGAATTTTTTTGGGAACTTTTTTATGATTTTGGATTTATGGGTTGGATGACATTTTGGTGGTAATAGGTCTCTTACTCTACTCGTATTTGGCTGTCAATTTTTTTCTACACTTTTAGGAGTATTTTGTGCAAGAATTTGCATTAAAATCGTCCGCCTAAGTTAGATTTGAATTTTTTTGGGAACTTTTTTATGATTTTGGATTTATAGGTTGGATGACTTTTTGGTGGTAATAGGTGTCTTCCTCTACTCGTATTTGGCTGTCAATTTTTTGCTACACTTTTAGGTGTATTTTGTGCAAGAATTTGCATTAAAATTGTCTGCCTAAGAAAAATTGAATTTTTTTGGGAACTTTTTTATGATTTTGGATTTCTGAGTTGGATGACTTTTTGGTGGTAATAGGTGTCTTCCTCTACTCGTATTTGGCTATCAATTTTTTTCTACACTTTGAGGAGTATTTTGTTCAAGAATTTACATTAAAATCGTCTGCCTAAGGAAAATTGAATTTTTTTGGGAACTTTTTTATGATTTTGGATTTATGGCTTGGATGACTTTTTGGTGGTAATAGGTGTCTTCCTCTACTCGTATTTGGCTGTCAATTTTTTGCTACACTATTAGGTGTATTTTGTGCAAGAATTTGCATTAAAATTGTCAGCCTAAGAAAAATTGAATTTTTTTGGGAAGTTTTTTATGATTTTGGATTTCTGGGTTGGATGACTTTTTGGTGGTAATAGGTGTCTTCCTCTACTCGTATTTGGCTATCAATTTTTTTCTACACTTTGAGGAGTATTTTGTTCAAGAATTTACATTAAAATCGTCTGCCTAAGGAAAATTGAATTTTTTTGGGAACTTTCTTATGATTTTGGATTTATGGCTTGGATGACTTTTTGGTGGTAATAGGTGTCTTCCTCTACTCGTATTTGGCTGTCAATTTTTTGCTACACTTTTAGGTGTGTTTTGTGCAAGAATTTGCATTAAAATTGTCAGCCTAAGAAAAATTGAATTTTTTTGGGAAGTTTTTTATGATTTTGGATTTCTGGGTTGGATGACTTTTTGGTGGTAATAGGTGTCTTCCTCTACTCGTATTTGGCTGTCAATTTTTTTCTACACTTTTAGGTGTATTTTGTGCAAGAATTTGCATTAAAATCGTCTGCCTAAGGAAAATTGAATTTTTTTGGGAACTTTTTTATGATTTTGGATTTATGGGTTGGATGACATTTTGGTGGTAATAGGTCTCTTCCTCTACTCGTATTTGGCTGTCAATTTTTTTCTACACTTTTAGGAGTATTTTGTGCAAGAATTTGCATTAAAATCGTCCGCCTAAGTTAGATTTGAATTTTTTTGGGAACTTTTTTATGATTTTGGATTTATGGCTTGGATGACTTTTTGGTGGTAATAGGTGTCTTCCTCTACTCGTATTTGGCTGTCAATTTTTTTCTACACTTTTAGGTGTATTTTGTGCAAGAATTTGCATTAAAATCTTCTGCCAAAGGAAAATTGAATTTTTTTGGGAACTTTTATGATTTTGGATTTATGGGTTGGATGACTTTTTGGTGGTAATAGGTGTCTTCCTCTACTCGTATTTGGCTGTCAATTTTTTTCTACACTTTTAGGAGTATTTTGTGCAAGAATTTGCATTAAAATCGTCCGCCAAAGTTAGATTTAAATTTTTTTGGGAACTATTTTAAAATTTTGGATTTATGGGTTGGATGACTTTTTGGTGGTAATAGGTGTCTTCCTCTACTCGTATTTGGCTGTCAATTTTTTTCTACACTTTGAGGAGTATTTTGTTCAAGAATTTACATTAAAATCGTCTGCCGAAGATAAATTGTATTTTTTTGGGAACTTTTTTATGATTTTCGATTTATAGGTTGGATGACTTTTTGGTTGTTATAGGTGTCTTCCTCTACTTGTATTTGGCTGTCAATTTTTTTCTACACTTTTAGGTGTATTTTGTACAAGAATTTGCATTAAAATCGTCTGCCTAAGAAAAATTGAATTTTTTTGGGAACTTTTTTATGATTTTGGATTTATGGGTTGGATGACTTTTTGGTGGTAATAGGTGTCTTCCTCTACTCGTATTTGGCTGTCAATTTTTTTCTACACTTTTAGGTGTATTTTGTGCA